CCAGTGTCTTACTGAGCCACAGCGGCTTCCACATACAATTGTATGTGTAAGTCAAAGTGAAAGGAAAAGCAAATGACTCACCTCCTATCCATAGAAAGTCATTGACAGAGCGTAAAAGATCTATAGCTGTTTGATAATGTAATATTGCTTCACCAGGCATGCCAGCTTGTAGACATAAATCAGCTAAATGTTTCCGTAATCTACCAGTACATTTCTTCTTAAACGTTCTGAAAAATATCAATATGTTTATTGAATATACACTAAATCACGTTTATACAATAAAACATAGTTATACAAAATATCTATAAATCATGTTTATATCATAATTTACAATAAATCTAAAGAATCCATAAATAATAATAATTGTTGAGCGCGAGCTAGTAAATACTGAGATTGGCAAGAATACGCTAAGTTTGGGTCCATATTTCGGACAAAAATTATCGGATCTCCAGCAAATTCGATAGTGATATATAATCTTCATAATGATATATACAAATGTGAATGGACAGACTGGCGAAAAGGGTGATCACAATACATGTATATACGTTCATAATACGGGAATCAATTAGGCAGTAATATTTGGGAATCTTAAAATCAAATCATCTCCTCCTGAACTATTGAAATTGAGCAGATTTCATAATAACATTAACATGGATACCATTTGAGTTCTTAAGCTCATGTTTATCGATATAAATTAATCATCCTTCAGACCTTCATTACCACCAAAGATGACTGTATGAAATCAATAGAAAATGCTGGTGTGTAAACTTTAAATGACCATAACTTATGTCAGAAGTGATAGATTTTAATAACTTTTAGACCAATATCCAATAGATGCATAAAATGAAATCTTTTTATTTGTTTTGCATTACCTTGTATCAGTGTCAACTCCAACAAAATCTTTCTTTTCAAATGGTGCACACAACAGCTGTAATCTGTCGGCTCTTTCAAATGATCGATCTAATCTTTTACCCTCCAAAACATAAAACAGTGATGTGACAAATTCTCTTAACCGTTCCTCAAGATCAGTCATAGTCTCCAAATTAGGATAAAACACAACCTCAGCCCCTGTTGACTCTTTTGTTAAACTGTTGCTATGGGGACGCTTTTCATTCTCTTTGTGATTTGACTCAAGTATCTTATTTTCCTTATTTATTTGGCCATTTCGTTTGTCTGTGACGACACTTCCATTGCCGCGATCACAATTTATTTCTTCCTTCCCTGATGAAGAGTTTGTATTGCTATTAATTTCTGATTCCTTTTCAATTGGGGTTCCATCAGTGTTCATGCCAAAAACAATCAGTCGTGAATTATAAATTGTATTGGCATATTCATCTTTAATCTTTTTATAATCCTCGAAAAGATCTTCAAACTCCTTTACAGAGGAACACCTTCCGATAGAGACAAGTCCCAGAACCTTTCTATGTGTCTGGTAATCACCCCAAGCATTATTTTCTTTAGGGTAGCCACGTTTGTAGCGTACATAAACGTTTCTTTTCTGACCCTGAACGTGGATACATGATAATTTCTTGACATGTTCCCAAGCGGCACTAAAGTTCTGGTTAGATAAATGTGTTCCGGTGTGCCGGACTAGAACCAGCAAGGATTGATGGTCCTCTGCTGTTTGAGAATAATCTATAAAACTCATGATTCTATGGTTTCATCATTCAACATGTTCTAATAACTTCAACAATCACTGGCTTATTTGAACTGAAATTATAAAAAATAAAACTATTCATAATAGGCCTAAAATTATAAAAAATAAATTTATAAGTTATTTACATGTATAGTACCGTAAGAAACAGTTGCGAAATGATATTATTTCGATTGGCCTTGTGACAGTGTTTTTAAGTAAAAACCAGAATAAAATAATTGCCATAGATTCCAAAGCCTTCGTAAAGTTAATTTATCTCAAAACAGAAGTTTTTGATAGAAAATTGTGCCTGGCTGATTTATTTGACGTGAAATTACATAAAACACTGTCTTTACATCATATTGTACCATCATTTTATCTTCATGTCTGATCTAATAATCAATCAGCTATCAAGATGAAAGTAGACTGGGTTAAAAGTTCTTAATCCACAAGTCGTGTTAGTGGTCATACACAGTACAATTATGTTCTAGGTGAGTAGGGTGACAGACACTAGCTTTTTTTTATAATTATCCTTGTAAAGTCACAGTAAGCCGACAGCATGAAAATTATAATATTTTTAATTAAACTTTTAAAAGACATCTAAATGAGTTGTACTTCACAGTGAGATTGGTTGAAACTGGATTTCTTACTGGATAATGATTAAAATCTGAATTAGGGAATTTTAATGTCCATTTGATCAACTACCCCAAAAAAAAAAACAATGACCCTGCACCCATTTGGACAATCAAAATATCATTTTTATAACAAAATGCGCATCATTGTGGAATGGAAGGTCTGTCAGGTAAGACAGTACAACATCTACACAAATTATTGAGATAAACGAAGACAAGAGAAATAACATGATTATAAATTGAGAAAATGTCTGATACAATGTAATTGCTTTGGAGTACTTAAAAACCCTCAATCCTTTGGTGGATTGGAAATCATCAAAACAGATCCACATAGTTTTTGTTACTTAGATAAACAAGACCCACATTTAAAAAAAAACAAACTCTGACCTGTTCTTATTGTGTGTGTGAGAGAGAGAGAGAGAGAGAGAGAGAGAGAGAGAGAGAGAGAGAGAAATGGGGTTTAACTCCACTCGACACAAACTAGGTCATTTCGGGACTAACACAGGGTTCAATTTTTATTTCAATAATTCGCTAGCACGTAGGGGTCTTAAGCAGTGGGACGAATCCGGAGGACCCAGAGAAAACCCATGAGGTTGGACAGGCGACCCTACTCCTTGTCACGTACAACCGGGGATTCGAACTATAATGTTTTACAGACTATATTTGTACTGCATTATATGAAAACTAAAATAAAATATACTGTGTAGGGGAGTGTAGGCCTAAAAGAAGAGTCATTGCTGCAGATATTGAGATACCGTAACCCATGAGGTTGGACAGGCGACCCTACTCCTTGTCACGTACAACCGGGGATTCGAACTATAATGTTTTACAGACTATATTTGTACTGCATTATATGAAAACTAAAATAAAATATACTGTGTAGGGGAGTGTAGGCCTAAAAGAAGAGTCATTGCTGCAGATATTGAGATAAAGAAAATAAAAAAAAATAAACTGATGCCATAAATGCAATTACTGTAGAATGATTATTATGACAATCTCGTTGTCGTGCTATAAAAGCAATTAGTAAAAGTATTAGACATATGTTTAGTTGACAAGAAAATAAAAACAACCCTACCTACGTAATCCTAGTAACACGAATTACGACTCGATACGACATCGATTTCGATTGACAAAATATTTTTATTTCGCATCAAATTCCAGGTTTCAAGTGGTTAATAATAGTATTACAATAATAGTCTGCTTAATTCAATTATTGCTTCAAAAAGGCCATTAATTAGTGATTGTTGTCCAATCAAAGAACAGTCAGCTAACGCCTTTATCTCATCATTTACACCTCATTAAGTAAACACTACACAAACGTCTGCATTTTGGCAGACATTTTGGATACTTTTCTCGTCAGTTCTCTCATAGTCTCGTGAGAGTAACGGCTGAGGTTGAAAATAATATGGGGTTCTCAAAAGGAGAATGTGGTCATTTAAAACGGAATCATTTGCTATTCGGATTATTTTAGTCAAAATATCTCTTTGAATTTGTCATGTTTTAGGACTGTGTGAATGGTTATTACGTAATTTTTAATATTTTATTTATATAAAAAAAAAGATTGTCCTGAAATGATCCCCTCACTGAAGGGGAGTAACTGCGACATGACAGTTTTTCAAAACGCAGCTATGTCCCTTGAATAGTGTTAACAGTAGCGGTTTCAACGCCCCGGGTTTTGTTTATTTTTTGGCTTTGTAATATTTTGGGTTGTATTTTTAGTTGTTTAATTGATTATTTTTAAAAAAAAAAAAAAATTTCGGGGGGCGGGGGGCGATATTTTTTCCCCCTGTTTTTTTCGGGTGGATTATCTTGTTGCGGATGTTTAATTTTCCTTGATTTTAACTAGCTGTTTTTCCTATTTTTGGTGACTGACATATAGCCTACCATTGGATTTCCTATAGCATTCCCAACCCAAAACACCTGTTTCCCCCTGCCCCCCCCCCCTCCAAAAAATGACGCACACAATATTGTTATATCGTTTATAATAACCATGTCGTTACATCGGTTTTTGTTGGGGGAGGGAGCCGGCGGGGTTCCTCTTCTTTCTTTACTCATTTTTTTATTCGGATGATTGTGAGTGTACAGTTTGCTTTCAGTACCGAGGGTGGTCATGTTGTCGTTTCAACATTTTGTCTCTTCTGTTCATCGTCCGTCCGTCTGAGGTAATATGTTAGTCCCGAAATGACCTAGTTTGTGTCGAGTGGACGTTAAAGCCCATTTCTCTCTCTCTCTCTCTCTCTCTCTCTCTCTCTCTCTCTCTCTCTCCGTCTGAGGTAAACACTACTCCAACAAAATTTCATTGTAGTTTGAAGGACCGTAACTAGCTCAGAGCCCGGGGTGGGGGGGGGGGGTGTTCTCAGGGGTGCTGTAAAATTGATGGGCAATGTAATTCTATGGTCGACAATTTTTTCACAGGGGGAGGGGGGGGGGCGAACAAACTGACCAATCTTCAAAGATACTCTTCTAAATGAATTACTGAATGAAATACTAATAATCATCCACCACGTTATAGTAATCAGATTTGTGTATCTAAAAGCCGTGGGTATCTCTCTTACGGACAGTATGGAAATGCATTGCTACTTTATAAAAGAGTCACAGTACCACTTTAAATATCGTAAAAAAAACCCCAAAAAAACCAATTAATCGGTTACAGTGAGACAAACGAAACGCATTTGTGTGCATTTTATTTTATTTGGAACCTTGAATGAATTTTTTTTTTTAAATTTAACCATAATCTCTCCATTTCAGTTCCATTCATTTCCTTCTTCCACAACGTTTTAAAAATCTGGTTTTCGTGTACCATGGAAGAATTTATATATATCGATACAATCGCAATCCTTTTCGTACAGATTAGGAACTATTTTATCGGAGAAAAATATGAATGTGACATACGCCATAACTAGAACGGTTAATGGTAACCATACAAATATACGAAATTGATATTTTTCCAACGATTGTTCCAATTCCTGTTCAGTATCGGTTTCAAGTTCCGGAACAGTATCGATGGGATGATTAGACTGCTGATGGATCTGTTGTGAGTCTCCTGTAGCTCGGATATCTTCTTCCTTGGCTGTAATTATAGAAATAATGCCCCGTTATCGTACTTTCAAATTTTAAATAGAAGTTTCTGTTCGGATCGAACTAACACGATTTTGGAAAGGCTGAATGAAACCATGAATGAAAACTAGACTGTGACTGGTCGAAAACATCGCATTGTCTAGAAATCAGACAAATCGACAATTTTACAACAATTTGACAGGGGCTTGTATAATACAAATAAGTCGTAGCGTGGCGAAATATTAACCTGCAGCGTTTGGATGAAATCCATTAAAATCAAAATATAATACAGACTTTCTACACAAAAGTATTCGGTAATGTTCGATAAAAATTATCTAAAACAACCAGTTACCATACACATTCCCACAATAAACAATCACTGTTAGATTTATATATCGCAATATAAAGCAACACCCATCAGTCACTCAATTTGCGAATTTTTCTTTTGCCCCTTTATTTTAAAAGTTCATTACAGACCGTGTTCTGTATTGAAAAATTCACGTAAAAATACTGGCGCCCTACCAACTTGTTTCCTCTTCTGTTCAAACACTTTCCAATATGTTAAAGTATTTCTAAAATCAAAATCTTCATGTTCACCCTTCTGAAATTCACACTCATCGATACATTCTGAAAAATAAGAAATGGTAACATATAGAGGGATGTTAGAGTCGGTGTGACGGGTTGACTCAGTACCCGGTTTGATTGGGTACCTTCATTTCTGGGAAATAATGACTTAAGTGACGAGGTACTTCACATTCATATATCTTGTAACTTGTTTAGCGGCTATTGTACTGCCTCGATCTGGTTTTATTTGGGGTTAGTGACGGAATCCTGGCCCGTAGCTAGCCCCCCAATTTTTTTATTTTTTTTGCGGGGGGGGGGGGGGGGGGGGGCAAGGGGTTCTGCGGCCGCCTATGGGGCTTCTGGGGGCGCCGATGTACCTACACTTGACGATCCACGGCAAACGGATCTAGGGTGTTCTTCCCCCCAGAAAAGTTTGGAATATGAGATGGGAAAATTTCCTACAATTTCCAGTTAGATTTTTTATGGTAGATTCTTCGGGCGTCGGTATGCGGTCGGTTTCGTGGTTAGGCGTCCCTGATCTCGTCGTGGGCGCCCCTCCGGAATTGGCGGCCATTGATCAAGTCGTGGACGCCCAACCAATCTCACTCGGCATTATGCATTATGTGCGGCCCTGTATTGTCATTATAAGGCGCCCTCCGGGATAAGGCACACCAAAGATCAATCAAGTTGTAGTGTTAATAGTGTGATTCACCAAGAGGCGCTCATAAAACTTTGTGGCAATCTCGTCGTAGGCACGCAACCAATGTCACTCTGCTTTATGGGGCGCCCAAATTGATATGTGGCACGTTGGTCGTTGTCTAGTCGTTCGGGTGGGACGAAAAACCGAGGTCCCGTGTATATATTGGAATGCACGTAAAAGATCCCCTGGCAGTTAGAATTCGATATAAGAGTAGGCGATAGTGCCGCTGCCCGGGCAAAATTTCCCTCATAGCACACTGTATGCCCGTCTTCATTAGCCCAATATAGGAACAGAACAGTAGGACGTTAAACCCCATTTCATTTCATTTCGTATTGCGTCCAACGGAAAGGGCGCCCCCGGCGCGCCGACCCCCCCCCCCCCCCACACACACACACACCGCTAGCTACGGCATAATCACTGAGTTGAAGATCTTAATGCTCGTTATCAGTCGCACGCAACTGTAGTGGTGTCCGATCCAATGTCGGTACGTGACAAGAAGCATCGTCGCTTGTCTTATAGCCACGTCGGTTTTATCCGATTTCGCTGTCCGCCCCCCCCCCCCCCTCTCTCTCTCTCTGCCCCTCTCTCTCTCTCTGCACATGTGACTAGTCTACATCAAATTTAAAAATGCCCTATCAACCTCTTCCTAGTCTATGCAATCACTTTATGTCTAAAATCTGGATCTAGATTACAGATCTTAATCCAAACACTACGACATTGTTTGAATGATAGAAATTGCATGCGAATGATGTCTTCGCGTACACAACCACAAATTAACACTAAAAAATTTATGATGAATTAATTTCTTACCCGAATCATCTGGAGATGCAAATAAATATTCGGATATGTTTTTATCCGTTGCCATGGTATTTCGGTTTTCCTCAGGATATAATTCTTAAAAACTTGAGTATTCTTGCACTGCCATGCACGCACGGAATTATAAACGCCTTCCTTTCCGACGAGTTTGCATTATGACGTCACTGTATTAAAATGTCATAGAATGGAACGGTTTTGTGCTGGAAAGAAAAGAATCGGACAAGTTTATTGAAAGAAATGTGGACTAAACCCCATATTAAAAAATACTTTGAAACCATTTGTTAAAATAGTATTAATTCAAAAGCTTTAATGCGTTAAACTATATATAAATGTAAACTATAAAAAGTTTTACTGACGTCACGCGTGTTCACTTTATGTGCGATTCTGTCCTTTGTACGTTAGAGTTGCTGACTTTATAATATTGCTCATACCACGTTACAAGCCGTGTTTTCTGCTTGCGAACACGAGAGCCATGTTAAAATAACTATGGAGTTTGCAAGTAAATAATGATTTATCCCGTTATTCGGTAATCCGAGAATTCTGATCTGTAAAATAATGGCGATATTTATGTTTATATTCCTTGCCTTATTTTCACTGTGTTCTCAATAAAAAAAAAAAGATTGTCATGCAAATCGTGAAAATACGCTCTCACAGCAGCTATGTCTTGAAAGAAAAACTTGGATGTTTGCAAAATTTGATAAGAAATCTGATCATTGTCGGGTTCACAAACTTGAAAAAAAAACCCTATTACCCTCATAAGGTTTTCGGAACGCAAGGTTGCGCAACGCTAAATATGGATAGGGTTCAATCCTCCCGTAAATCAAATGATTCACACCAGATTTGAAACACGTCCATTCGAAAAAGGGTACTTCACACCAAAACACCAAATTTGAAAACAAATGTCCGTGCACAAGGTTCTCGGCAAAGGGGGGGTAGCATCGGAACGGAAAGTCTGGAACGATGAACATCTTTAGGCTTCGTTCTCTCATTACCCTAATGCTTCACACCAATTTTCAGTAAGTTATTTTTTGACAAGGAAGGTAACTCCCGTACTGAAGAACGATAGGGTTCGTCTTCTCGGCACCGAATGCTTCACACCAAATAGGAAAAAAAGACTTATGTTAAAAACGATAACCCCAATCACGTTAACGAGCAAATTGTTGACGATCGGACCGACCGATGGCCACGGCTGACGACATAAACATCCACACTAAAATCAGGTAAGGGAGGGGAATAATAATGTGAAGAAATAACTAATGTCATGATCTGGGAAGCCCGCGACAACCGCCACTTAAAATGCACGATATTTCAAACTAAAAGGCAAATATTATTTGTCTTTTAAGACAATACACATTAAAGAAGCTAAACCTCTAACTCAATATTTTCCATAAAATTCGAAATTTAAAAAGAAAACAATTAAAATTCAATATTGATCTAGTTCAATCAATATTGATGTTGTTATCTTGACGTGAAAATGTGGGATCCTAATAACCAATATTTAAAACCTAATATATATAGACATTTTAAAATCAGTACCCGTGTTGTGTACTTCTATGATTTTGGGCGCCATTTGTAATGAACAAATAAAAACGTAACCTACAAGACAATGCATAGGTATTTAGTAATGACTGATTCACATACTAATAATGAAATTACGTGTAGAATGGTCAAAGCAGGCGTAAAGGGCGGCTGAACAATTTTGGAGTGTTCACGTATTTCACCGAACATAATTGATTATAAATTACAATAAAAATTTTAAAAATTGAATATAGATCACTTTTTATACACTCATATTACATTAAGTTTTTAGACTCAGTTTCGTCAGTTTTAAGGTTCCAAAGAATAGAACCATATGCCCTTTAAAGGAGTCTTTTCAAAAAGCATATTGGCCTATAGGAAAATTAAGCAATCCGAACGTCTCCATTCGACTCTATGTTGTTCTAATCACTTTTTGTCTTCAAACTTCAGCAAGCTATTGAAGAATAACTCTTTTCTATAGATATAAACATCTAGATTGTAATGGCATATAACCTGTAATTCTTTATTACTATCTAAAGAACACCTTTCCATCCTTATTTTTGCTTATTGGTCTTCTGGCGCATTGGGGCTTTAAGTCGTATTGTATAGGGTAATTATTTATTTACTGAAACTGTATAACTAGCTAAGCAACAGGTATATTGATTCTATTAAACAAAAAGACAATTAAAGCTATTTATAACCATAGAACATTCAATTAAACCTGTTTACGAGCATTTCAAGAACGCGTGCCTAGTAGGAACTATAGTGCCTAGTAGGCTAATAAACGGCGGACCCAAGTTTTCTGGCCAAAGAGGTAGTGGCGTAGACAAGGCTGGTACCGGTTATAGTGTTTAACGTCTGCTTCTACAATAACCGATATCGCAGACACTAATTTCACGTGTCTTTGTATATTTATATAAATTTTTATACTATATGTCAGGACTCATGGAATTAGAAAACTAGCCCAGTTTCCATTGGCTATAAATTCCCAAATTCACTGCTGTGTAAGTGCCTGGGTAAGGGTGCCCTTATGCTTGCTTAAGTCATAGAGGTAGTGGTCGTAGCGATTATCAAGAAACTCATAAAGTTGAAGAGTGGAATTCAGGAAATGACTTACGTAACCTTGTTAAGCAAATCTTTCGATCATTTCCGACCGACTCAGTATTTAGACATGTACATGTAGCCTACATTGTCACATTTTGTCGTTTGATGTAGTCTATGGATAAACCTAATTTTATTTACGGTACCCAGAATTAATATCTCGTGAGGCCTTTTGATAACCTTTTAAAAACACATATTTAGAATCAGACATCACTAGCCTACGTAAATAGAATATCGACCAAGTCACCCAAACGCACTGTTGGGCGTATAATATTATATTAAGCAGAGTTATTAGTCCATTGTTGTCAAACATATTTAGTGACGTCACACAAAAAAAACACACCGCGACGGTATTGTAATATAGTCAGAGTGTGGCCACTTCACTTAGACTGGCGGTGCTATTGTAATATAGTATAGCCTACTTTTATTATACCGCTAGCTACGATTGTCTGCGATATCAATATGTGTTGAAGCACCTTTTAAACCCACTCAGTTGCTAGCCTGTCTATATTATGGCGTGTATAACGAAAGGGATTAGTTGCAGGAACTAATACCGTTATTATACGACCGGCTACAATATTGTCTGCATATTTATGTGAAAGTGTGCGTCAAGCCAACTTCTGTCAGTCCCGAACAACGACGGTAGCTCCCTACCACGTTGACGGATTATTGTGCTTGTATTGGAACAGATTAGTTAAAGTGACTATTAGACTATGTGTACGACATTCCATGACACCGGTTTATAGCAATATTTATATATATATATTCTGTACTAACAGGACATTAATTAATTACTGATTAATTACAGGAACTTCTCACAGGACAAAAATGTTTATAGTGGCAGGGAGTTGTACACTTATCATAGCACCAAGTGTTTATATTAAAGAGGCAGATTATTTAATTTAGCGTGTGATTTATGAATTAATTACTAAATTAATAGGCTAGGGGAGTACGAATTAGTAGTCTATATTATGTAAGTATGTAAATATATTATACTTGTTCGTTTTGGTAATTAATATTTCATTCTAATGCAATAAATGAAATACATTTACATAATTAATAACTTAATTTACTGTACATTTTATATTATGTTCTGTTATGGTCGTGCTGTGCTGTTATGTAGCCTATCCATGTACTGTTTGTTCTGTGTCATGTTGAGATTGTGCTGTACGGTATTCGTGCACTGTTTGTTCTATGTTATGTTATGTAGCCTATCCATGTGCCGTTAGTTCTATGTCATGTTGAGATTGTGCTGTACTGTATCCGTGTACAGTTTATCCTGTGTTATGTTATGTAGCATATCCGTGTACTGTTGTTCTACTTTATGTTGAGATTATGTGTAATGTATCCGTGTAGGCCTACTGTTTGTTTATGTTATGTTGAGATTGTGCTGTAATGTACCGCACACTGTTCTATGTTATGTAGAAATTGTGCTGTACTGTATCCATGCATGCACCGTTTGTTCTATATAATGTTGAGATTGTGCTGTCTGTATCCATGTACTGTTTGTTCCATTTATTGTTGAGATTGTGCTGTACTGTATTGATCATGCACTGATTGCGCTGTGTTATTTTGTGATTGTGTCTGCCGCACCCTTATATAGGCCCACTGTGCTGTATCCATGTACATATTGTTTATTCTAAGTTTTGTTGCGATTGTGTTGTTTTCGTGTACCGTTTGTTGATGGCTTGTAAAATTGTTCCACTGCATTGGCCATTGCTGAAACGTTCAATATTTTGTATTTAAGGCATGGTGCCAGTGACAGACATTACAAGCTTTCTACCTGTGATACATCAGGTATGATATAGAGGGATTTAAACTAGACCACATGTTTCACAGGTAGATAATCCATTTTTATAAGCTTATTTAGAAATAGAAAAAAAATAATTGAGATATTTATTTTCAAAATTTGACATGTTGATTAGACAATATTATGAAGTTAGCCTACATCAAATTGTTTTGTGTTCAGTCCTGAAATGAGAACTAGTGTGCACGACAGCCGTCATTAATATTATAGCTAACTGCATGGAGAGAGAAGATTTACAACACTATTACAGTCACTGCATTTCGTAACCAATTATTTTTAAAGCCAGATTTCGACTTGTCGAGGGTGCAGGCTGTAGAAGTATGTCTAGACGTGTACAGACATACAAATGGATATAGCGTTTCTCAGCTCTGATTAGCTCTGGTTTTACAATAATGGGGTGTTTATTTATAATTGATGATTAATCAATGTCTGCCTTAGTAACAAATTAGAAACACATCAATAGAATAATTATAGAAATATTACCTCATTCTGCACAAAGCGAACTCTTTGCCTTATATGGCCGCCATATTTAAAAATTAGTATACATTTGTGTAATGTGGTTCAAATTTTATACACACAAAGACTACATAAACATTTTAGATTTGATTAAATAGAAGCAGAATAAACACTTCCCAAAATTCTCAAAAACATACTTAGTATTTTAGACTAAAATCGTCAGTTAATGTCGATCAATTTTCTTGGTGTCTGTTATCAAGCGGAGCTAATTGTAGACAGCGTAATTTTCGTATGGTGTTGCATTTTAACCCACACCAGACGCGGCTCCTTGTGTCCACACCATTAACAACGGGAAACCAGGCGAGAAAATCCCCAAAAAACTGTTTAGTCCATAGACATCTCGTTCGGACAGGGAACACTTTAAGTCTTATGCTTGGTCAGTAATTAATTTGTGTTACCATGAATGCGATAATTTAACCAGTTCTATATTCACATATTGGTGGACGACAACCCTGTCCTTTTAAAGGGTGTATAGCTTTATTCTTGGGAACCTTAAAATTGGTCGAAAACTACATACTAATGCAATATGAGTATAACTAAAGTGATTTACATTCAGTATTGAAAACAGTCCAAATTGAACGACAGTTTGCTTCTGTTTAATATGTTGTACACGTTCCTTCATTATTTTGTCTTTTGTGAATCAGCCATTGTAATTACTTCCACGTTCATTCTTTTTTCATTATAAATTCCACTCGAAACCATTATGATCTTTGCGTACACGACGTCGTATACTGATTTTAATATGTGCATTGTGTCATAAATATTCGATAATAAATATTCGGTAACATAACAACATCAATATTGATTGAAATGACCGAATATTGAATTCTAATTCGTGTTTTTAATTTCGAATATTTTGGATAATATTGAGTTAACTGCTTGCTTTAAGTGTATTATAATTAATTATACATCATTCCTTGCTTGATAAATACGAGGGAACCCTCGTCGAAACATCGCCAAAAATAAACTTCTTATACACTGTTCGCATGCACACCATGCAAATTTACATAGAGAGAGAGAGAGAGAGAGAGAGAGAGAGAGAGATGGGGTTTAACGTCCACTCGACACAAACTAGGTCATTTCGGGACTAACATATGGTTTTAATTTTATTTACATAATTCGCTTGTGCGTAGGGGTCTTTAGCAGTGGGAGGAAACCGGAGGTCCCGGAGAAAACCCACGAGGTTGGACAGGCGACCCTACTCCTTGCCACGTACAACCGGGGATTCGAAACCACGCCAGTCGACTCAATGACAGACTTAATGATACAGCGCGCGCACGCTAACCATTCAGCCAAAAATTTACATATAGGTGTGCTAATTATTCCACATGTGTAAATCGTGTCATGCGAAGGCAATTGCATATGTGTGCAAATTTGCAGAAGGAGTAAATATACATCAAGTTGAAGTTGGTGCAAATGTATATTTACACCTGTGCATATTAGCACCATGTGTATATAGTGTCATGCGAACGCATAATAAACTTACACACAGCTTTTTATAAGTGTCCATCAGATGGTCAGTTAAGACACCACATACTTTATGGTTGCTATATATTTTATATATTTGTACAGGGGGCATCAAACACTTTCTGTGCATGCGAGAATTGGTATACCATTCGAAATCGCTTCCATGGGTGAACCAAGTATTATTTCCCAGACTGATTTCTCTTTATACATGGTAGCATTAGGTGATAAGGGTTTTGTCCTTCGACTGTCAATTATGAAAGACCAAAACCGAATGGACATACTTGGGCTAACATTTACTATTACACACATGTGCAAAAATGCATATGAGCAAATACACATACAGAAGTAAATGGTGTGCATGCGAACAGGGCTTTAGTAACTTGTATTCCATATCATTGTGTAATGTGTAATGATATAAGAAAGTACTACAAAAGGGTTTAAAGCACATATTAATGATGTAATATGAATGTATATAAAGTGTTTTGCATTCAATTTGTAAAGTTTTTATTGTAATTTTTAATCAATTATGTTCGGTGAAATACATGAACAACTCGAATTTAACGGTAGTCGTTAACGCCTGTCAAGTCCATTCTACATTTGTTTGTTTTTTAAAATTATTATTTTATCGTTTGTGAATCAGTTATTACTAATTAATTCTGTATTGTCTCATGGGATATGTTTTTCTTTGTTCATTTCAAAATGGCACCCGAAACCTTATAACACATGAGGTCGTGTACTGATTTTAAAATGTTTATTTAGTCTTAAAGAGACCATCCCGATTTTAAAAGAGTCTCAGTAAGTCCGTGTACGTATGAAATTTGTGCGTCAAAATATAAGGGAAAGGTGTACATGCATTTACCATGTCTCAAAATTTCAGCTTAAAACATTGAGTCGTTTGGGCGCGAACGTCAAAACCGCTTATACGGACACTAAGACTTAACTATTTTAAGATTTTGGGATCAGTGTTTTCGTTGGGCGACCAGATAATCTATAGTCATTCCTTTAGAGGTCTACGTGCATGGCCTACGTGCTGTACTTAATAACGAAAGCTAAATTTCACCTACGCGTTATCAGGGGCGGATTGGGGCCGGGAACCGGCCCGGGCTCCCGTGTCGGAGCGGCCCCTTTTACTGACCGCGGAGCCCGGACGGGGGTTCCGGAAGCTCTCCCCGGGGAAAATTTTGAAAAATGAACCCCAAATATGCGATTTGGTGGCATATCTGATTATAATCTCTGTCATATAATATATCTCATAAATCGATTAATTTAGGCCGAAACCCCGACCTGCAAGTAATTTACAACCATCAACCTGTGAAATTATCATATTGTCATATTATTAATTAACGTATTATCATGGTATTGCCAAGAGTCAAGAGAATTTAACTGGTTAAAAAATGGGACTAGTTGAGAAAATTTTGACCATTTGATTTTAGACCAAATGAATAAATAGGAATATTTTCATTGAAAAATGTCACATTTTTGTTGCCGGGAGCGCTAGTTGATTTCTCCTATGATGGAAGGCCACGAGACATGAAGTCTATTATACCAGCCCATTCCAGACTCTAGTGATGGCGTGGCGGCCCGTTAAAGCGACCGGCCACATACAACATGATCATCATCGCTCCATGGCCGGTCCATTACCCCCCCCCCCCACCCATATACTGTTCAGCAGAAAAAGGTTTTTAAGACGAATTGGACAAAAAAATTTTTTTCATTTTTTGTCCGACCGGCCCTTCGGCCCGATGGCCCAATCCGTCCCTGCGCGTTATTTTTATAATACAGCTTCGAACACCTATCTCCATTCCAGATGAAGACTGACGGGTTTAAGTTGTTTGAAAACGTATCACGTACATTAAGTTAGTTGCTCGGCCCTAAGGAAGGGGATTTTAAGGGCGTTTAACACAAAATTAAGCAGTTTCATTCTCCAAAATATATAATCGAGGATAGACCCCTTAAATATTTAATAGATATTAGGATCCAATATTTTCACGGTAAGATAACAACATCAATATTGATTGAAATAGACTTATACTGAATACTAATTCGTATTGCTAATTTCGACTATTATGGATAATATTGGGTTAGAGGTTTAGCTTCTTTATATAGTAACAATAAGGTTATGTTAGTCGGAATAAATTAAAGTCACTTGATCATATTAATTGCTCGGTATATAAAGCACTATCAAAAAATATCACCTGTTTATCTCTCAATTTCGTCGGTTGATAGGCTACAAAAAGTGGCCAACTAATTTAAGACGTGAGGTTTTCAGACTCCTATTTGAGAAAGCGTGGGAGGTTTTCAGATACAATAAGCTGGATATGACCAACTATATTATATTTTTGCAAAGACTGGACATGAGTTGAGATATGTGGATTGCTAACAATATTACTAAGACTGTTAGTCAATACAAATTCCCTGCTTAACGACTGACAAAGACGATTAAACAAACAGGGATAAGAATAACCACAGATAAATATCAACTGTAACATTTTAAATACCAACTATACACACGACATATCAAATACCACAAAAACAAAAGGCGTTTTAATATTATTTTAGAGTATAGTTACACATGAATGATTTTATTCAAAGTATAATATTTCTGCATGCTCATTAATTTGTAACGTTACTTCCAGCTTGCCTATTATACAGCGTTATGAAATAATACAAACAAAAGAATAGTGTTTTATGCTCTAGGCTTATTAATAATCAATAATGTTATTTATAACAAAAATAAACTGAACAACTTTTAATACATAAATACCGAACTTAGTGGCTATGATCGATTATGGATGTGACTAATAACCAGAAAATGATAATCAGGGTATAAATAAAACATAACATTTACAGGTAAAGGGTAAGTATCATAATGTTGAATTTGAGGTAAAGACTTGAGCATTGACCTGGCCAGGTTACAAGTCAGGTCAGTAAAGTGTATGTTGTAATGCTAAGTTGATCTCGGTACACGATTGTTTACCGGTGCCGGACCGGGGGTGGGGGTCTTATGCGTGCGCTTTAGATCATAGGGTCTGTCAGTGCGTCAAATGGCGTGGTTTCGAATCACCACTGGATTTTCTGTTCCATCTATAGTGGCTGAGTGAGTAAGGCACTGGCTCACTAACCAGGAGGTACTGGATGGGTTCCATACCTGTGTCAGCCCAGAAGATTCCTCGTGACTTCCTAGTGCAGGATACAGGATGTAGGGCCTGGACAGGAACAGTGTCTAATCGTTCGGATAGGACGACAACACTCTTAGTAGTTGTCCGTCTTCATGAGCCCGGTTGAATATTATTAGAATGTCTCTCCTAGCTCTGTAACACTAACTGACCAACGCAGACAATGCAAAATGTCATTGTGATTGGCAAGACATGCATGACATCAAAACACAGCAACTGACAAAGTATCAGAATAAACCATGACTTACATAAAGCTGGCCCTAGATAAATACTGTACAGGGCTACGTCAGGATATCACGGCAATGACAAATTAATGATATTAATATGAGTAAATCTGTGACGAGGTATCCGATCTTTTCGGTCACTAGAAAGTCTATATATTACAATAAACTATAACACATACTTATGTTAGAACAATTACTGATTTATTTAGGCGACGTTTCGAAGAGTATTTTATCAACGTTTTCAAGCAAGTACAGTAACAAATGTGTAGGGCAATTATATATAGACAAGCAATAACAACAAATCAGAAATCATGCATAAAAACAACATTGCTCTATCCAGTTACTAAATGCCTCTAAACTCTAAAAAATTATTATTGATATATTACAAGTTCCAAGCAAATCAAATCGTAGTAAGGAAAATAAACAAGCTATCTTCAAACTACATGTATTTAAGCGTAGTAGATTTTTGATTAACCCACATATAGACCTCATTTAAGGGGTGGGGTCAAGCAGCGGGGGTGGGGTGGGGGATTTGTGCCGAAGAGCCACCGATCCCATCTCCTTTGCCCTACGCTAGGTATATCGGAACATCTGCAGAGTTTTTAATTGTCATTCTTTGATAATTTCTAAGTCATTATACGGACGAAAAATACCTGGACGAAATATCACATTTACATTTACTGGATAATCCTAGAGTGACAGGGCCACGAGACAAAATGTGCATCGGCAAGACAAATTGCCCCTAAGACACTTGACGCCTGTATATTTGAGAGTCAATCAATAATCTACTACGTCTCGGTCACCCAGAGCCTCCTAGTCTTCAACGTACGGGTATTTTTTCCTGGATGATTGAGATTATAACCTACTAGGCTTAAATAGTTCGAAGATTGCTTATTTATTTTCCTTACTACGATTTGATTTGTGAGAGAGAGAGAGAGAGAGAGAGAGGGAGAGAGAGGTGGGAGTAATGGGGTTTAACGTCCACTCGACACAAACTAGGTCATTTCGGGACTATCCTATGGTTGAACTTTATTTCAATAATTCGTTTGCGCGTAGGGGTCTTTAGCAGTGGGAGGAAACGGGAGGACCCGGAGAAAACCCACTTATGATACAGCGCACACGTGCTAACCATTTGGCCACCCCCCCCCCCCCCGATTTGCTTGGAACAATATATCGACTTACTAATGACCGGAAAAGACCGGATACTTCGTCACAGTTTTACTTATTTTAATATCATTTGTCGTACAGTATTTACCCAATTTACTGGTGACATGATCTAGTTTGTGAATCAAAATAAATCGCATTGTGCCGGAGCAGAAACTGGTGCATGCATATGCGATCGGTTAGAATTATAGCAGATTATCCGGATTAACAAGGGTGGATTGTACGTGTTAAGGCGGGATTAACAACCAAAAGATCCTGCTATGTAATCATTATGATATTATTAAGTAACAGGAACCTATTATTAAGTTAAGAATTTTATTTGCGTGTGTATTATGTTATTAAACTTATTTAACGTGTGATATTATTAAGAAACGTATTTGGCGTGGGTTACAATAATTATTAATAAAAGATGAATATAGTACATGGAGATAAATACACCCACGAAGCATGTGACAGTTGAATTAATTTAACATAGAATCTTTGGCCATATGTTGAATAAAATCAGATTCATTGGGCTACCATATTTTATTTTCATTTCATTTAGCTTGTACACTCACTCATTTGTACCGAATTGTGGTCTATGATATTCCATGACATGAATGTTTTTTTCTTTTGCCAGTCGAAATAATTTGTCGTTATTAATCGATTTCCAATCGTATTAATTGTTACACAGGCTATTAATCTCCATTATATAAAAAACTCAAATTTGAATATGAAATAACATGGGGTTAACGTCCTATTGTTCTGCACCGATTGTGCTAATGAAGACAGCCATACACCATGTAGGTTTTTTTAATTACATTTTGCCCGGACAGCAACTCTACGACCTACTCTTTCGAATTCAAGCTATCAAACTGTCAACGGGTCTTTGTCCTACATGCCAACGTGTACATGGGACCACGGTTTTTCGCATCAGCCTAATGACTAGACGCTATCCTTGTCCAGCCCTCTGTCACGCACCACTGAAAAGGGGAAACCACACTGGAAAATCCCGGAGAACTTTCCCGACCAACACCAGGTTCGAATTTCGAGCTTCCTCCCTTCACAGTAAGCCCACGCCTTACTCACTGAGTCACCGTGGCTAAACAAAACCCCAACACTCAAATTATTATTATTATTATTATTATTACAGCATATTTATAGTGCACCCTTTCATATAACATGTTCAGGGGCACTTTACAAAGTGACAATGTAAATCACACATAAACAACAAGATTATGGGCATGTTAACGATTGTATACAGAGTCAGTTAAAAGCCTGATTAAATAAATGTGTTTTAAGTTGTTTTTTAAAAGAATACAGAGATGTACAACATCTTAAACTAAATGGTAGATTATTCCATAAAACAGGTGCTTGATAACTAAAAGAGCGCTGACCATAGGAGACTAGTTGAACAGTTTTGGGCTTTAAAAGTAGTTTATCTGATGTACGTAATGTTCGGCCAGGTGTATAAAGTTCTAAAAGATCTGAGAGGTAAACAGGAGCTAAATTATTTAAACATTTAAAAGTAAGTAATAAAATCTTAAAATCAATTCGATATTTAACAGGTAACCAGTGTAAATTATATAAAACAGGAGTTATGTGGTCACATTTCTTAGTTAAAGTAACAAGTCTAGCCGCAGTATTCTGTACTTTTTGTAATTTATCTATAAGCTTTAAAGGTAAATCAACTAAAAGTGAATTAAAGTTATCTAGAGAATTAACAAGTGACTTAGTGGCCTCTACAGTTACACATTTACGTATTTTACCTATATTTCTAATATTAAAATAGCACAATTTACAAATATTATTTACTTGAGCTCCCATAAGCATAAAACTATCAAAGATAGCGCCAATATTACGAGCAGAATAAGATGAAAATATATCACTTAATTGATGCCTTGAGCCTAATGATACCCCCACCCCCGGTTTATCTTGTGATTAAGTCGCGAGGTGTAAACAAACGGTAAACTGTAAGTGGCCATAATATGATTTTTACACTGTGAGAAGATTTTTGAATTATATAGATTGATAACACTGGGTGTAATACATAATAAAACCATTTAAAGGATTAACAATTCTTCATAAATTACTTAGCGGGGATTATTGACCAATACAGGTATGACATAACACTTATTCATCACACTAACCTCGTTTTGAAGTGTGGTGTGGTATATTAAATATTTATACCATACCTGACAACTGTTGTTTACTGTGTTGACATGCCAGGCTTTTTCCATTTCTTAAACGATAGGAGTGATGTCTATAGGTAGGTGTTTTTTTTTCTCTTGTGTTCATGATGTTAGACACACTATCACTGTATAACAACAACACGGAGAATAAATAACTGTATAATCTAACAGTAGACTAGCTTAATTTTATGACGAGAGAGTCTTCTGTCGTTGTCATATCGCATCAATGGCATCAAGTGTATTGTTTTAAAAAGCTAATAACTAAACAGCATGAGGGAAATGTTACTTGGATTTTTATAATTGATAGATATATACTTCCCTACAGTGTTGTTTTATATATATATATATATATATATATATATATATATATATATATATATATATATTAGTTTTATTTTCATTACCTCCGTTTAACCCCTTTTGTTTGGAGTGAATATTAGAAATACTTTACGACCCCGAACAAAACTATAATCATATTGATAGGAATAGTAGTTATATTGTTGTATAATAGAAAGAAAACTTTTATATTATTTATATTGGAAATGTTAAGTGGTTTTATGATCAGTTCATGGTATACAAAGAATAAAACCTTTCTCATATTGTTGGTTTAATATCTAATATAATATAGGCAGGAATGCCATCGTCGACATACAGGATAATCTAATAAAACATCTTCGACAAACAAGATAATCTATGTCAAATTGCTTTACGGTTTAAAATATCTAATACAATAGATAATGTCATCGTTGACACAAATAAAGACTGTGTGTGTTATTTAAAATGCAATAAATACATTCCCTTCTATCATTAGTTTAATGCATAATGGAAATCAGCTTCGACACCCTAGTAAATCTAATGCATATAGGTTGGGCTATCATCTTCGACAAACGAGGTAATCCGATACAAATGCTTACACATATTGTCGATATATATCTTCGGCGCAACAAACATAATATATACAAAAACAGTCCTAAGTAACCCTTTGAGAAAGCTTATTATTTGTATAAAAATATATCACATTATGTTAGCCTCAAAATCAACTAATAAAAATTACTTTCCATTGTTTATTATATTGAACAAAAAAGAAAATGAATATATCGAAAACAATGTAGAAACACGTACGTTTTATAATCGTTGTCTACGCAGGTTTAATTACGTTTGACCTGGTTCCCGGTCCGTCCCGATTGATGGTCAAAGTTTTCAACAAAGTATTGTCGGAAATGCGTTCTTAGATTGTAATTTAGATACCATTTTGGCGTCGATGTTCATGTGTAGAAATGAATAATCTATCAGATTATTGGACCAATATTTTTATTTGTTAAACTACATTTTATTGTGTGGGTGTGGCCTGAAATCTATATTTGATTTTTAATCTGGTATATTGTGTCACATTATTTATTTCAGGATGGGTTGTGGGGCGAGTCTTGATTCCCGAGACAGTGATCAGTTGAATGTTGTAGTGTTCGGTGCCACGGGAATGATAGGTGGGGCGGTTATACGAGCACTGCTCAGAACTGGACCAAAGTTCAAGGTGAAAGCCGTAACAAGAACACCAACTAGTGACGCAGCAAGGCAATTAGCTGAAGACGGTAATGTACCATAAATTTAATTCCATCTATATTTGAATTCCAGGATCTCGGGTTATTTAGTAGAATTTTGGCATAACAGCATCTAGAAACATCTCCTCGCTATTTATATTACCAACATGCTATTTGAAACAGCGGAGTTTGTTGACAATGGCGTATTATCCTCGCTTGTAATTGAGTCTCATAGATCATTGTCTGTCCTATGTTCCTAGTCCTGCCATACAAATTATGAGATGGAAATATAATAGGTTAGACCGACCATACACTAGTTGCCGGAGTTGAGTGGATGTTAAAGATATTTAGTGAACCAAGTGGGTTAAATTTGTGTGAAGGATGTGGAGGACTCATAGAAACCATTATGATACATGTAGTTCCATACAATTATATATCTGAAGCTCCGTAAACTTTCGGTTACCATAAGTCGTCAAATTCCACAATATCCGCAAGTGCTTAGATAGCTATCTCTACACTTTCAATTTCAATCCACTCATAAAATTAAAAAAGCGAATTTCTTATCCGAACTGCTTAAAATATTTTGATCTGAAACTTTAAGACAAACTTTTTGGGCTATTGCATCTTATTTTGACCATTAATTTGTGAACTTAGATTCACGATTATCAACGAGTACCATGGGAAATCTTGCACTCCTCCTTAAACCCTATTCCCACTTCTTTTCCATCAGGTGTAATAATAGCCACAGCTGATCTTAATGATAGTAGAAGTTTAGAACGAGCTTTGAATGGAGGCTCATGTGTTTTTCTATCAACACATTATTGGGAACATCTTAATAAAGATAAAGAAATTCACCAGGTAATATGTTTAACTTATTTAACTTAGCTCATTTAATTCTCATTTATATCAATTCAAAAACTTCCTATTGAGTGAAAAATCTCACGCCAAGTTATGTTGTCATCCTTTTAACTTATATTCATATACTCGTTCAAAAATAATCTGTATGTAGTTGCCATGGCGGACGGTGACCTACAGCATTTGATATTAAGATATATTACTTGGTATTACAAATGTAGAATGTTTGTTAACTTTTTGAATGGGTTTTTTTTTTCATTGACAGGGTATGAATGCCGTTGATGCATGTGTGGCCTGTGACGTACAGCATATAATATTTCTAGGAGCAGAGAACTCTAAACGTGTTACAGGCAAGGATTGTGGTTACCTCGAGGCTAAATCTGCTATAGAAGAATATATTGTAGAAAGGAGTGCACCAGGTCAAGGTATGCTTCAATTTACAGTTTCTTCCTTCTCATACACGTTTACTCAACGCCTACTAATTCCACCATGTGGACCGCTTTTTGGCAGGTATCACTCAGTTAACTTGCTATACGAAAATAAACACGGCACCAGAAAATTTAACAGTTTTAGTATGTTTAGAGTGTATAGTATGTTGTGTTTTTTACTGGAAAGGTTAGGTGGGAGTAGAATACTGAAATATTATGCTAGAAGGGAAACGGATAGCACACAATGGCAATTGCTTCTGACAGTGAAAGTGTGTCTGAGGTTGGTTGGGCGGGAAGAAGTTCCTTAAATTGTATTGTGTTTTTATATGTTTCAGGACATACCTTAAACTACACATTTCTACGTCTGCCATTTTTATATGATAATTTATTGAGTTTATTTAAACCTCATTTGGTGAAACCAGATGTCTACGCTTTAGGTAAGTAGAGATGACGACTAATAAAGATAGGCTTCTACAAGGTAAATTGGCAATTAATGTCCATTCACATAAAATATGTATATGGATTTCACCATTGAAACGTACCAGTCAACAGATGTTCCAATGTCAAAATGGTATCAGGTGTTGCAGTAAGAACATGTATGACCTGTCAAGGGCACCTCACCCAACACAATAAGACACCATCACCGACATTCTTCAACTCTTTATTTCACATTTAAAACTATTAAACTGAAACAAGGACATTTGTTAAAGGATCAGAAATAGGCATGTAGTTTCATATCGTGTCTATATGTACTATACTATTCAAAAAAAGTAGGGGATATTTGATTTTTAAGTGTTATTAAAGTCACCTAATGAAACTGACGAAGAAACAAATGACAAAATGAAATGAAGTTCACATTCATCGATTTATTCCAAATGATCGTTATACTAAGTAAGGCACAGACTGACCATTATAAGGGTAAAATGATACCCGGGGTCAAACAGCAAAGTTACCACAGCATCACAACCAAGTCAGTAACGGGTAAATCCTCCTCTGTTTGCCAAACAAGCATTGATCCGACGTGGCATACTCCTAATGAGACGTCTAAGGTCATTTTGGTCCAGATTGTCCCATTCCTGTTGCAACGCAGCAGCAAGTTCTTGGACATTGGCAGGACGTTGTTGACGTTGGCGTAACCTCTGTCCAAGCATGTCCCAGACATGCTCGATGGGGGAGAGGTCGGGACTCAGTGCTGGCCAAGGTAATGTGGTGATGTTCTGTTGTTGGAGGTAACCTGTAACGATCCTGGCCCTGTGACATCTTGCGTTGTCATCCTGGAAGATGAAACGGCGGCCATGACGTCGTGCGAACGGCACAACATGGACTGCCAAGATGTTGTCCCGGTAGTACTGGCCTGTAACACGCCCTGCAACAACATGTAAAGCCGTTCTTCCAGCAACAGTGATGCCTCCCCACACCATAACAGAACCACCCCCAAATCGATCATGTCTGATGACGTTAACGTCTTGGAAGCGCTCGTTTCGACGACGCCACACCCTCCTACGTCTGTCCAAAAAATCAACAGTGAACCTTGACTCATCTGAAAACATCACATTGCTCCAGCGTCGATTATCCCAGTGTTGACGATCCCTACACCAACGACGTCTTGCCTGAATGTGATGATCTCTCAAACAAGGGATCACGCGAGGACGTCGGGCGCGAAGGTGACCCCTATGCAGTCGATTCCGAATCGTCTGGCCATTCACTCTCACACCAGCGTCTGTTTGAAGACGAGCGCTGATCTGATTTGCTGTGATGACACGATTTCTCAAGGCCAAGGTACGGATAAATCGATCCTGGGCTTGAGTTGTCGCCCTTGGTCGACCTGAGCGTGGTCTGTCCTGTACAGATTGTGTATCACGGTATCTGGACCATAGCCTGCTTATGACAGACTGAGAAACATTCATCGTCCGCGCCACAACCGCCTGTGTTGTGCCGATCTGTAGCATGCCAAGGGCACGTAACCTTTCATTTTGGGTAAGCCGACGCATATCAAAATTTGTTTTCTGGTCACTAAAACAATTAAACTGATGTTTCCACCCTGGAATTCAATGCCACAATGACTGTAACATTCAAAGTCAGAGTCGTGCAAATCTTGGGTTGGACCCCCATGATGATCCCAAGCATCACCTGCATTCCATGCGGTAGCTATTGGTGCGTTTGGGCGTCACATGTAACTGGAAATGTTTCTTCTGTTAGGTTCTATAGTGACTTTTTTCGTAGTCATTTGCATATTTTAGTATTATGCCCCCAAAATCAAATATCCCCTACTTTTTTTGAATAGTATATATGCACGGACCTATATGCGTCGTGATTCGTCGGATTAAGGTGCACTTCGTTGGGAAGAAATCTGATTGGTCGAGAGAGTATCTGATCAACATCGAGTTGATCGTAAGCTGATCGTGTCGCATCTCATCAGGATCGCGTTCGGTCGTGCTAGGGTCTTCTTGGATCGCGTTGGTCATGTTGAGAGCGTGTTGGAGTCTTTTTTGATCTTATCGACATCTGATCAGACAGGGGCTTTAAGGGCATGGGACTCTCATAATAAAAATCACTTCCCCGACAAGAACTCGTTTTGAAAATAAATGGGGTTCAGCCTACTACTGCTTTGTACCGACTGGGCTAATGAAGACGGGCATACGCTATACAGTGTGCTAAGAGGGAAATGTTGTCGGGACAGCGGCAACAGCCTACATATATCGAATTCCAACTCTTACGGGTTCTTTTACGTGCACGTCGATGTGTACACGGGACCTAGGTTTTACGTCCAATCCTGATGATTATACGTTGTCCCTTGCCAGGCCGTCCGTCCTGCACCACTGACAAGGGGGAATCACGTCGAAAAATCCCGATGAGCTTGCTCGGTCAAAGCAGGGATCGAACTCGGGACCTCCAGATTAGCGTGCCAACGTCTTATTCACTGAGCTACCGTGGTTCCCAACTCGTTTTGATTAATGACTATATATTTAGATGATGGATAGAGTATATGCACACACAAGAAATCTCCAAATAACCTTGTTTTACCATTCATATTTCCAGCGCTGCCATTAGAAGATACCAGCATAGAATGTATGAGCATTAATGACGTAGGAAGGTGTGTTTATACCATAATAACCCGACCTAAACAGTATTTCAACAAAACTATTCGACTATCAGTAGATCGGTTAACCGTTCAACAGATGGCGGATATCCTTACTAAACAGATAGAAGACAAGAGATTCGTTTGTCCAAAGGTGAGGAACATTCCTGGCGTCATGGATAAGTAGGGTTGAGATCTGATTACATAATTAGTAGAACACGCGGCCCTGGTTTTAGTTAAATCATCTTTTGGCGATTTTTTAATTTCCCAGTTTAAAAGCACCATGTTTAATAATGTAGAATTAAAATATTTGGCATTCAAAGACGGCAATTTTTAAAACGGTGCGAAACTCTTTAGACCCCCCCCCCCCATTCTTTTCTATTTATTGATTTCTCTGGTAGCCAGTGAGTAAGACCAGTGTTGACCGACAAAGTTCCCAGGAATTTTCCAGCGTGGTTTCACTGGTGAAGGGCGGATAGCCTGTCAAAGAACAGCGTCTAGTCTTTCGGACGGAATAAAGAACCGAGGTCCTGTGTACACTTGTGCTTACTTAGCTTGGTTTTTATACCCCTCATTTTCACGTGGACGTATATTGTCGTCACCCCGTCCGTCTACAATTTGTTTGTGGACACTCTACAGGTCACCATTTTAACCGATTTTGACGGAACTTGGAATATAGGTTTATCTCCAAAAGATCTCGGTTCATTTCGATATTGCCATGTATCGGATCGAAACTTCATTGATTATGGCCCTTGGTTGTACGAAGAATCACGTTTTTAGCCTGTGGACACTATAGACGTCACAACTTATATCCGATTTACATACAGGGTGACACAAAAAAAAACGTTCATCAATAAAAATCGAATAACTTCCAAAATTTTATTTAGATTAACACAAAAATTCAGCTACATTAGGTTAAGTCTATGTAGCAGATATCTCCAAAGTTTCAAGTCTGTACCACAAAAACTCTTTGTTTAACTGGCGCTCAAACAATGTGCTCTAAATGAGCTCCCCGGTGCTGCAAGCACATTTGGAGCCGGCGGGCAAAGCTCTCGATGACCCTCCCACATTCTTCCCTTGGGATCGCTTTTATTGCTGCTGTGATTGCTGCCTTCAGATCAGGGATAGTCTGGGGGTTGTTGCCATAGGTATCAACCAGATAAAAATCTGGGGCGTTCAAGTCCGGTGAATGCGGCGACCACTCCGGGTCACAGCTGCGGCTGATCAGTCGCTCAGGGAAACGCTGCTGTAGCCATGCCAATGATTCGTTTGAGGTGTGGGAGGTGGCACCATCCTGCTTGAACCACTGGAGGTCCCTGACGACCCCTCTTCGTCGACCAAGTTTAGGTGATGAACGCTTTTTTTGTGTCACCCGGTAGATGACACTTGAAATGTATGTTTATAACCCAAAAATCTCGGTTCCTTTCGATATTCGCTTGGGAATTCAGGATAGTTAAGTAGGTTACGATAGTGAGTCTAGATGAATAGTGGGCCTGGAACTAATGATGATTTAGTTTATTCATACTCATCTAAATCAACTTGATTTTAACATTTTTTTGTTTTCAGATAAGGATAAAGGATTATGAAAAGTTTGAGTTTAAGGGTGCAGCCGACTTAGCCGCAATGTTTGAATTCTATCAGGTCAGTGAACATGGCGGCGATATAAAATTAACTAAAAAACTTTACGGTAGTGTTAGTCTGTTTGATAAATGGGTGCACGAAAACAAAGAAAAATTCTTGGATGTATTAAAAGAAGAATAAAACTAACAACACTAAAAATAAAAACTTCAAAGAGCTTTACATAGAGCTAGACGCGTACGTCCCTAACACAGATACGAATTTAGAGCTAGATTCGGGAGTCCTAAAGAATCGACAGTTTTCTTAAATAGCTGAAACATTATTTAGCCTTACATCCGTTATGACGGGCACAAGACACGATGTGGGATATACATGCAGCTCGAACCACCTAATACCGCTTTACACTGACCAGGATATCATGTTTTACCCGTTGAAAATATGGCAAATTACAATTATTGTCTAAATTGTGATATATATAATTTATTGTCCCGGATGCGTGTTCAGGCGATTACTCTGGCAGCGTGTCTGTAGGCGAATATTCGAGCAATGTGTGTGCAGACGAATACTATAGCAACATGTATGCAGACGAATACTCCAGCAACATATATGCAGACGAATACTCCAGCAACGTGTCGACGGATACTCCAGTAACGTGTTGACGGATACTCTAGCAACGTGTCGACGGATACTCCAGTAACCTGTAGACGGATACTCCAGCAACGTGTCGACGGATACTCCAGCAACCTGTAAACGAATACTCCAGCAACATGTGTGCAATTGGATACTTCAGCGACGTGTGAGTAGACGGGTACTTCGGCAACGCGTGTGCTGTAGATGGACACTCCGGTAACGGGTGTGCAGGCGGATACTCCGGCAACATGTGTGTAGACGAATACTCTTGCAAGGTATGTGCAAGTGAATACTCCGGCCGCGTGTGTACAGGTGGGAAGGTTAGTCGTTAAAAAGAATGTCTTTTACGATATTGCTAAATACAAACTATGTGTAGACAGAAATAGGACTGAGGTATTACACTGTATTTTACTAAATATCATACGAACTGTACTAGGTACGTCAACTGCTGTGGGAATTGTATTCTTTCTGAGATTTATCTTTCCCTGCCATATGTGACTATACAGCAACCACGCATGTTTTGCTTTGACAAAATACATTTTTCGTGTACCCTTTGACAAGTATATTTATCGCATGCGTATTGAGAAGGCAAAAATAAAGTGCTTATGTCATTACAGGAAGAGTACATTGTACCACCTTTCACAGCTCCTGTTATATGTGATACGACACCGACTGTGATAATATGTGATACGACAGCTACTGTGATATGTGATACGATAAATACAGATACTTTACAAAGTTTCAAGACACCCCGTTCACACGCCACACTACATTAAAGTCCGATTTACAAAAATCATCAACATGTTTAACCAGGTGACTACAACCGCCAGCCGGATTTGAGTGACCAGAAGGGTCAATAAAGTAGAAAAGGATGTATGAAGTGAAATGTCTGATTCGCCAAGCGGAGCGAATTGCGAATTTTACATAACCTGACATTTCTAACCAGCCATAGCTATTAGGGGTCTTAAAATTAAAGACTACGCAGGCCCAAGGCTGTCACGGTAGAGACAAAATCCGATCAAGGATAACCCACGATATCAATTATTTTTGCTGTGTTATTTTCTATGCATTACATTTCTGTTGTGACCGATGTAAATTATCTTACCTCAGAAATAAACAATAAAAATGGTTTATAAGTAGTGTACGAAGCAGTGTATTTTTTATAAATATAAATTTATCATTTTGGACAAATTTTCGTTTTAAGAGTAAGGTTTTAATATATTATTATGTTATCCTTAGGTCTAGATAATTAGTTTTGTTAAATTTGGTGGCATCATAAATTTGGGAGAACGGAAGACTCTCATCGATGGTATAACTGATGGACATATATGAGGAGAGACAAAAATGAGGTACTCAAAACAAACATGGTAGTTTAGAGGCTAATATAATTATGGTGTACTTTTATTACATTTTTATTTAGCAGTGGGTGACAACTGGAGAACCCGGCGAAAACAGATGCTGTTTAGCACAAGCGTGTTACAGAACCCGAGACCTGCATCAAGTACATACATTACGATCTGTCACTTTTGACCGTTAAATAAGAGGAAAATGCGACCACCCATATAAATGCGGCTATCTTGTACAGGGTACCTAACTGGTGGAATGCCAATATACACATTAAACGGTCTCACTCATTAGAGAAAGAAAGAAAAGGGTGGGGTTGAACATCCATTTAACACAATTTCGCGACATGTTCTTCACCGACTGGGCTAATGAAGACGGACATACGTTATTTTGTTTGATATGAGAGAAATTTTGCCCGGACAACGGTACTACGGTCTACTTTTATTTTTTCGAATTCCAACTGTCTAGGGTTCAAGGGTACGATACGTGCACGCCAATGTATGAGACCTCGGTTTTTCGTCCCATCCGAACGACTATACGTTGTCCCTTGATAGGCTCTGCGTCCTGTACCATCGACTAGGGGGAACCAAGCCGGAAAATCCCGACGAACTTTGTCAGCCAACACCGGGATCGAACATGGAACCTGCAGGTTAGCGCGTAGGGGTCTTTAGGGTTTGCAGGACCTGGAGAAATATGACATTTTGTAGACCACCCTAATCCTTGTACAAGCGAGAGAGAGAGAGAGAAATGGGGTTTAACGTCCACTCGACACAAACTAGGTCATTTCGGGACTAACATATGGTTTAATTTTATTTCAATAATTCGCTTGCGCGTAGGGGTCTTTAGCAGTGGGAGGAAACCGGAGGACCCGGAGAAAACCCACGAGGTTGGACAGGCGACCCTACTCCTTGCTACGTACTACCGGGGATTCGAAACCACGCCAGTCGACTCAATGACAGACTTTATGATACAGCGCGCGCACGGTAACCATTCAGCCATCCAACCCCCCCGCCCCCCCTTGTACAAGCATTTGATGGAAACCCCACCATTTGACTCAAGGGTGCGGACCTGATTGTCTAAATCAAACGCTTATAGATCACTTGGTCACTTACACGCAGGCCTGAAAAAATGCTTTGCCCCCCCCCCCCCCGCGACCATAGTTGCCGACCATAGCTCTAAAATACCTACTGTGGACTGTGCCCCCCTAAAACCTTCACTACCCCTCTGCAGCCAACAAGCTGGCTACGGGCCTGCTTACACGTCTGGACCCCACACTTCACTCACTGACACACATATAATTTACAAACGCATGTACATATTACACTGAACTTGACCTTATAATAGGTTATGGTATGTTTTTTTAAAACTATTCTAAAGTGACGAGTTGCGATTAAAGAAAGACAACTCTTGTTGTAAAACATTGACAGATGGAATCAGACCAATATAGATATCCCGCGAAGACTTTATGTGGTGAAACGTATACCGTTAATTAATCTGGTCCCCTATTTCACTCCTTTTTTGTAATAATATATATTAAATAGGAAGTGTTAAAACTCTGAAATACTGTGGAATATAGTGTATTTTGATAAAATATTTCGCCGAGCAAATGCCCTTCTTACAGCCCCCACCCCTTCCCAAATAAACAAAAAAGCCAGCAGTGAGGCTTGTGTCTACCGCCAGAGTCCCTAAATAATTATAATTAATTAATTGGACATTGGGCACTCAAATTTACCCTAAGGAAAAAATGCTCATGATTGAAACCAAGTTTCCTTTGGCGGTTGGAATTCGATATGGGAGTGGGCCGTGGTGCCGCTGTCCGGGCAAGGTTTCCCTCATGACACACTGTATGGCGTGTGTCCGTCTTCATTAGCCCAGTAGGAGCAGAACAGTAGGCCTTTTAACCTCACTTCATTTCTGAAACAAAGTTTCATCACTTCCACGCAATAAGTAGTAATGTTCATCATTGAACTTAGTTAAGGTATTGATGTAATGAAGCTATTTGACCAATCAAAATGCTTATCTCTGCTTAGCCTAAGCAGCAACTACTCATTATCGAATGGGTTTTAGAACACTGAAACAGCAATATGAGTTTACACCATAGTAAAGTAGTATTTTTTACATTTTCTTAAGTACATGCCAAAATGTGTTTCCCCCTATATACTAATTCAAATGAAGCTACATATTTTAATGTGTATTTCAATAAACGTTTTGATAGACAAACATTTACGGCAGAACAGATGATTCCCTTTGAAAATATTATTTCACGTTTAGAAAGGGGGTGGTGTGTGTGGGGGGGGGGGGGCGGGATATGGGACATTTTTTGGGGGTGGAATATTTCATAATGTGATATTGAAACAAATCAACTTTCTAGTTGAAGCTACCGAACTCATCTTTCAATTTATAAAATATAAAGGCAATGTGAGTTGCTAATTTTTTGCTATAGGTCTTTAAAGATAATGGATTATGGCTGACTGCTTCCAGAACAAAATGAGAAATTTGGAGTGCAGTTTCAGTTAAAAGATATAGGTTCAGTTTATCGATTCATTATACCCATGAAATTATTCCACAGCAATAAATTATGTCCCATATTACCCCCCACCTCCTAATAGTCGTTATAATGCTTCTGAAACAAATAAAAAAAACATAAAATTGCTAAAAAAAAAAAAAATTAGCTTATGATTTATTCTAGAAATCATTCCCTAGAAATTTGTTAAGATTCTGTGGATAATTTATTTTAATGGTTGGGGTATAGTGTAAACCATAGTTCATATCACCCCATTTTACATGTCCCATATTACCCCAAATGGCAATTATTAGATAAGTCAGAATTTCATAAAGATAGACCAGGAGTTCTCTCCCTTTAACTACAGGCTATAGAGCCTAACATTAATAATCTATTTTAATGCTCAGTCGAGATCGTGAATGTTTCGTGAAATGCACTGCTAGTTTCCAACCTCTAAAAAACTTTTAACGCAAATTTTTTTTAAAATACTGAGCTTTTTTTGTGGAATGTATCTCTGGGCTTTTTATGATGTGTAGCACATGTTCAGAGGATGTAGAAACCTTGGTAGTAACATTATAAAGAAACGTCACATGACAAGCTTGTGAGATCTGTGGCCCATATTACCCAATGCCCATATTACCCCCCACCCCCCAACCCATACCTTAGACGATCTGCTACTCGAGGTTTGATCTTTTTCCAGAGAGATTTCCCTGTTTCCATCGTCTAAAACCATGAATAATAACCGAAGAACTTGTCAGAAAATATAAATTCAATCAATTCTAGATCACAAGCAAGATCAAAACTGAAATGTATCCAAACGAGTACCACGCGAACAAATCAGCAAATTAAAAGGATAATCTAATAAATATTAGTAGATTATAAAGCGCTGCTAGATATAACCTCTTAGTCTCTATATATTATTGTTTCTTTGACAACTGATTTATGTGTTGGGATATGACTTACTTGTCCAGTTTGAAAATCGCCATTTCTTTCACGAAACAAGTGGTTGTAGCTGTCGAGTTGCCAGGGCAATGAATGTCCCAGGTCGAACTAAGCTTAATCGTCCGAGGGTGCCAATAACTATGGTCTACCGGTGTACAGTTACTGGCGTTGGTAGTTCTCTGTGACCCGTCGTACGTTGCTACTCCTCAATGCATGCACCTAAAGGCCTTTGTCCCTCATTGTACGCTTTTGGGGCTCATCCATTTGACAAGCGACGAACGTGTCCTGCTAAACCAGTAGCTTGTAGACACCAGGATGGCCGTCAAGGGAAGTTCAGTGCCAGCAAACCTTATCTATTGATCCCGACGAAAGCCCTTTCATATACCCTTTTGTTCCTATTCAAGCGTGTAGCTTCTTGAAAATTAAGTGTACTGTAACACTATTAAAACCCTTGTGCAGATACAAGGGGTATTTCGGGACCTGGTTCATAATAAAATTGTCTAGCAAGAATTATTATGCAGGTTGGTCGATGACATCGTGATCGTGCTGTGACGTCATCAACCGCGACGTCGTCGTATGGAACGTCAACGTCAGGTGACGGCGCATGATTCTAGATCGCATATACGAAGTTTCATTCCACTAGGACAAACAAAAGCTCTTAGAATTCTTCGATCGAATCAAAATTGTCAAAATTGAGGTAATTTCACAAGTTGTCCTTAAACGTTTGTTATAGACTGTAAAGAACAAAAGAATAATTCAAGGTGATGTGTGAAGTCGTCTTATAGCCCCCCTCCCCCCTTGGAAAAAATCGACGCCCTTTCCATTGGACGCAGTACGAAGCCAACGACCAACGTGCCCATATCAGTATGGGCGCCCTATAGCGCCCACGACGGAGTGATCTGTGGGGTGCCTTATCCCGGAGGGGCGCCCATAATGACATGATTGGTGGGGCGCCTTATAATGACAATATATTGTCGGGCCGCACATAATGCATAATGCCAAGTCAGATTAGTTGGGCGTCCACGACTTGATCAATGGGACGCCCAGAACGCCATGATTGGTGGAATGCCTCATCCCGGAGGGGCGCCCATAATGCCGGGGTTGATGGGCCACCCACGACGAGATCATCAGCGCCCATAACGCCGAGTGAGATTGGTTAGGCGCCCACGAATGAATTCGTATTCCTTCCTTCGAATTTTTAAGATGTTCATATTAAAATAACATAATACGCCAAAATCGCAAATTCAGCCTTAAAATTGAAGTTTCGTAGTTCCTCACACAGGTGCAAACACTATTTTTCAAAATTTTCCGGAGGAAGAGTACACTAGACCCCATCGGCAATCCCAGAAGCCCTT